GATGACAGTGTTCAGTAACACTCCGGATATGCAAAGTGGGACAGACAAGTGGACCGTTTCTTCTGAAGTTGAACAGACCAAGTGACACGGAAACTGCATTCCTAGGTGTTTATCTAACATAACTGAGACTGTATGTTCACACACAGATTTATACTGCAATATTCACAGGTGTTTTAATAATAACCCCCAATCTCAAAGAACCCAACTGTCTATCTCTTTAGTGATTGTATACCTACATTAAGGTATATCCACTTAATGCTGTGAAGCCACAGAAAGAAACTTCTGATACATACAATATTGATTAGTTTAAAAAGTATTATGCCAGGTGAAAGATGAAGAACACAAATGACTACAAACTGTTTGGGAATTATACTTTCTAGCATTTAAATATGTTATGCTCTATTGTCCTGCCTTTTCTCTTTGTGGTTCCCAATTATACTACATTAGAGGCCCGGTGCATGAAAATTCGTGCACTTCGGGGGGGTCCCTCAGCCCAGCCTGCGCCCTCTCGCAGTCCGGGACCCCTCAGTGGATGTCCACCTGCCGGCTTAGGCCCGCTCCCCAGGGGATCAGGCCTAAGCTGGCAGTCAGACATCCTTAGTGCTGCCGCAGAGGTGGGAGAGACTCCCGCCACCACCACTGCGCTGGAAAGCCATGAGCCAGCTCCTGGCCGAGCGGCGCTCCCCCTTTAGAAGTGCACTGACCACCAGGAGGCAGCTCACCCATTGAGTGTCTGCCCCCTGGTGGTCAGTGCGTGTCATAGTGACCGGTCTTTCATGGTCGTTCACCTTTAGGGTCAATTTGCATATTGCCCTTTTATTATATAGGATTGTACCTTCTGTGAAATGCTCACAAGAAGTCTGACTCCCCTGAGATTTCCCCGCTGAGCCATAACCATGTGGAGAGGAATAACAGAAATAGACAAATGCCTAGTGAGTTCCTACAGTTCTGCTCACCTTATCTGATAATCTAGATATAAAAATCAGCATCTTAAATATTAAGGCTGGTTATGTCTTTGCATTATTACTTTACATGCATCGATACATTGGTTTAATGATTTGGTTTAGGAAATATTATATTTGATTTGGAAATATAAAAGTATACACTAACATATTCCCAACTTTATTTTGCCTGGAACTTTATATGATAATGTCAATATTATAATGTAACCTTGACTTGGGAATTTTTGAAAAAGCTTTGGGAAAAAGCAATAGAATTCTGATGTAGCCTACATAGCATAATAACTAAAATAGTTAGCAAAGAAATTAGCTTGTCAGACTCCTGACAATAAAGTTATTTATATTTCTACAAATTTAGTAAAATGTAAAAAAAATCATCACTATGAATATGAAATGATACTTTTAATTCAAAAACCACCCAAATCACACCTCCATAAATTAGTAACTAGAACTAGAATGCCGACTGCCAGCACTTCTGCCTTCTGCACATTTAAAATGGGAGGATTCTGGTTCACGGCAGACAGAATGCCGGCCCAATAATGAGAATCTGAAATAAGTAGGAGAGGCGCTCAAGACTGGCATGAAAGTCACAGGCACAAAATAAAACGAATCTCTATACAATAAATTAATATATAGTGTCAATGAACAAAATTTGGACAAGAATAGTAAATGAGCGGCAGTGTTAGGATCACTTGTATCCACGTCAAGAATACAGACAGAATGCGAAGAACTTATCAGACGAATGACATTTCTACATAATGATTTTCCTTTACCTCCTAAGAGCCTCTTAACTTCCCAGAGATCTCAGCTTGAGAGAGAACCACAGAGGCCCGACTTGCAGGCCTACGAGCAATGCAGCCATGAGGAAGGTGTCGGGGCACAGTCCTAAGTGGAGACGCTCTAAACCCAACTACACGATGACCACGCCTTAGCCGGTGTTCAGTTTACACCCCCCGCCCCCCGCCCCAGATATTTTTCTGCTCATGTGAACTTGGTAATACCTAAGCTACAAAAAGAGCATGGACTGGCCATGCCAGCAGCAGTGTGAATATGAGAGTGCTTTTACAAGCCTTCTACGAATGCTGACTTACTGCCCACCTAAGGCTGCACTGAACTCACTTTCATAACCTCCATCTGCTGAGCTCCAAGCCACCCTGTACTTACTGTACTTCAGCCCCGGGGCACCCCTGGGATCAGCCCAGGAGGAAGGAAGAGGTTAGGAGCGAGCAGATGTGAAAGCCAATGAAGACTTTCCGTTGTTACCCCGCAGGATATTCTACACCAAGCGTGTCAAACTCAAAGGCTAACATGGACCAAATAAACGAGGCATGCGGCCCGCGGGCTGCGAGTTTGACATGCTTGTACTACACTCTTATATGTAACATACTCTCCCTAATCGCTAAGGCTTCTCTCACCTGGCTCCTTCTGCCCAGGATCTGCCTCAGGCTTCTCCAGCGCTCGCTGAGCCTATTCTCTGAATTCATATAAGGTAAATTCAGTTATGATGGGACTCCATTATACCGACAGGCTTACAAGTCCCCACTGCTGATTTTTTGCAACCAGTATTTATTCAGAATCCACTTATATCAAGATTATTTCTGACCTGCTGTGTGGCTCAGTGGTTGAGCGTCAACCTATGAACCAGGAGGTCCTGGTTCATTCCAGGTCAGGGCACATGCCTGGGTTGCAGGCTCGATCCCCTAGAGGGGGCGTGGAGGAGGCAGCCAATCAATGATTCTTTCTCATCATTGATGTTTCCATCTCTCTCTCCTCCCTTCCTCTCTGAAATCAATAAAAATGTATCTAAAAAATGCTTATTTTTACTAAAATTATACAAACATAAGTAAAATGTATGTGTGTGTGTGTGTGTGTGTATATATATATATATATGGCAATTCTATACTATCCATGTACTTTAAAATGATATATCACATACAGAATCAGTTCACCTGCTTCAATACATTAAATAATTTAGTCTTTTATAATATACTAGAGGCCCAATGCACAAAAATTCATGCAAGAGTAGGCCTTCCTCCGCTCGACTGCCAGCACCAGCTTCCCTCTGGCACCCGGGACCCGGGCTTCCCTCCTCTGGCCGCCGGCAGGCGCCCGGGACCCGGGCTGCTTCCCTCCGGCCCTGGCTTCATCTGGAAGGATGTCCAGAATGATGCCAAGGATGATGTCTGGTCTAATTAGCATATTACCCTTTTATCATTATAGATTCCCAAAACAGAAATTCTGAAAAAAGAGAAGAAATGCCAAACAATAGAAATACTATAGGAGTGTCAATGCTAAAGAAAACCATTTGGCTAGTCTGAAAATATGCTTTTGTGTGTAAAGTTTTTCCAATAATCTTTAATTAATTAATCTCAGAAGTACTCCAGGTGTATAATAAAAGTACAAGTGCCAGCTAGCTAGCTCCCTCTAGGAAGAGATATTCAGTGTGATCATTATTATAACAGATGCAAATACATGAAACAGTGTAAGGAGATCTCTCTAATTCAAGAGTGTTTCTCTGAGATTTCGCTGCAGTTTATAGTTTTCCCTGTATTGTTCTCCCCCCTGGTCATCTACTCATTCATCCACCCATCCATCCATCCATCCATCCATCCATCCATCCATCCATCCACCCATCCACCCATCCATCCACCCATCCATCCATCCATCCATCCGTCCATCCATCCATCCATCCATCCATCCAACCTTTTCAAAACGAAGTTTATAATCTTACCCTCAATACATTCTTCATAAGTTCACTCTATTAATTAATTCTCCCTGATTGCAACCAAAAACCAGTGCTGCTATTTGTCTTTCTATCCACGCTCAGTTAACTGGCTGTTAAGACATCAATCCCATACAATTCCGTGGCACCCATCTTCTGTGTATGTTCTCAGAGAGCATCTGACTGCAAGGGCCCCGTTCGGAAAGCTGGGCTCTGATGATCTCACTGCTCAAGTTCTTGCACTGCGCTCACCAACCAGAGATCCTGCTAGATCATCCCCTGGGCCTGGAATAGCTTCTTCAATCAGCTCCCCCGCCGAGACCTCACTCAAGGCCTCCCCTAAACATGAGGTCACCCACAAAGCATTTTCTCTTATGGATTTATTTGCACTGAGGTCTTTCACTCTATCTTCTAATTTGTAACATACTTATAAGATAAATGATGAACTCCTTCGTAGAAAGGACAGTGTCTTAAACCGTTATGATAAACTCACACTTGCCTAGGCACCGCAAATGTGCTCACCAAATGGAGAAGCGAATTTTTGCCATGAACTCATTCCTACAATGATTTACAGGAGAAAATATTCTACACGGGATATTTAATTTATTTTGGAAAATAAGACTTTTAAGGTCAGTGAGATACAAGTCCCTACTTATTAAGTTTAAATTTACTCCAGAAAGCCCACAATGTAAAAGATGTCCAATAATATTTCAGTAAATTATATTTTGCCCTCACATCGATTTTGATCAAAATAGGGAGGAGAAAGGATGAGGACTAAAGCAATAGGTGAAATATACTACTAATTGGATTCCTCTTTAAAACTGCAAGGCCCCTTAAAATCTCTCTTAAATACAGTCACGGTTACTCTGACTACGATGCAGAAAAAGGGAAAACTTAGTCACAATGAGTCTTATAGTCTATTGCTCCCCTGAGTTTACAATGAGTAAAAGGGTGCGTTCCAATTTTCACAAAAACTTAAGAACTTCGTAAAGCGTCATAAATCCTACATTTCTAATTTTCACAATTAAATGATTTCATGATTTTACTTTGGATAAATTTTTTTTACACTTGAAAAATACAGGAAAAAGTAGGATATGATTACATTTGCCAATATATGAAAGAAGTTATTTAAAAATAAACAATCATTACATTTCAGTAGGAATTACTCTGCTCCCATCTGTTGAATAGTAGAAAGAGCTACCCAAAGCCCTCCCGCGAAGCAGAGAGCTGTCATATTACAACTTATATTTTAATAACTTTATAAAACGGCTGGCAGAATTACCATGCAAATGCAGGTGCTGGGTTTACCGGTCACTCACCTCGCCCCCATTGACATATTCCATCACAAAACACAAACGGTCTTTTGTCTGGAAGGAATATTTCAAGGACTTGAAATGAAAAAAGAAAAAAAATGTTATATTATAATCCTACATTGTTATAATGGCACCAAAACAGAACACTCAGAAACAGTAAGCAGTATGATGAAATGAACTGTTAGCATTCCTCACCAGTCTATTTACCCTCAAGAGGGCTTAAGGTAGAGTTTACGGGAAACGTAAGACAATTGATGTTTAGCTCAGCAGTGGGTACCGCTAGGGGAAAATTAACACTTTAAGTAAAGATTAACTTAGAAATTGTGAGGCGCACCTCTCAACCGAGTGCGCCACCCATTTCACACTGTGTGGGCTCCCAAAGCTCTTATCCATGAGATCTCAGAGCGAGGCCGACAAATTACTCTAGTGGAGGGCTAAGACAGTTATAGTCGTTATATTTGGGAATCTAATCATTACAACATAACTTTTTGCACACAGGGTACATAACATGTAATTTTATAGGTTATAAAAACTGCAGAACTATCTTAATATACTAGACAAAAAACACACAACAATGTAACATTAAGTCCAGATATCTGGTGATACCTGGGAAAATTCCTACATTAGGCAATCCTAAATCTTTAAAAGACCCTTTAAAATCTCTTAAATACAGTCAAGGTTACTCTGAAGAGAAAACTCAGCCACAATGTGTACCCCTATGGTCTATTGTTCCACTGAGCTTACAATGAATAAAATCATTCCTCCTTTGGACAGTCTAGCTGTTACTTTTAATCTTAATGTATTTCACTGAAATCAGAACTATATAGAAACTTTGCAAATTACGCCTCAATTACAATCAGTCAAGGAACAGGACTAAAAAAAAAAAATCGGTTTGCTTCGTAACTAAGTCACAATTTATACTTCGTCTAGTAAAGAAATATCATGACTGATCCTGCCTTTACTGTCGTGTGTTCAGCATTTAGTGGAAGTACTCTATCACTAAAAAGAAGACTCAATTTCTACAAAAAAGGCAGCAAAGATTTCTGCCTTTCACATGTGCAGACAACGTTGCCTGGCCATGTAAATATTTATATACAAACCAAAGAAGCGTAAAACCCTTACATTTACCGCTAATCTTTTCAGCTGGCCCCTTTTGAAGTCCACCATGTTCTCTGGGGTCTCCTTAAAACGCCAGCATGGATGTATTGGCTGTACGAGTTATTTGTATTCAAGGTAGTGAACTTCATGGAAGGAAAAAAAAAAATCTCCTAGAAGTTGTAGCTGCATAATGGGAGGGATTACAGATGCATGATGGTGCAAATTCAACCCCTACATTCTGGTAATTTCCAAGAAATCTGACTTTACAGCTTTCCACACGGAAAAGGCGCACCTAAATGAAGGGTATTGACAACGTTCCTTTTCTTAGCTTAGTTCTGTCAAAGCCCCTCTCGTCTGAAATGCTGCGATGACACATGTGTCCGCTGGCACTTACTGTCAAGAAGGGATGCCTCGTGTTCTTCAATACCCGGCTCTCGGTGAGGGTGTGAGCCACTTCATCCTGCAAGAAAAACAGGCAAGCCTTGAATGCAGCGGTTCTCAACCTTCAGGCCCTTTAAATACAGTTCCTCATGTTGTGACCCAACCATAACACTATTTTCGTTGCTACTTCATCACTGTTATGTTGCTACTGTTATGAATCGTCATGTAAATATCTGATATGCAGGATGGTCTTAGGCGACCCCTGTGAAAGGGTCGTTCGACCGCCAAAGGGGTCGCGACCCACAGGTTGAGAACCACTGCTTTAATGACTGTTCTGAGCACCAACAGAAAAACGTCACTATTTCTCTGAGCCCAGGAGAGATAAAACCTAGAGACGGAAAAATATTTTATTAATTTATTATTATTTTGATCCTCACCCAAGGATATTTTTCCATTGATTTTTAGAGAGTGGAAGAGAGAGAGAGAGAGAAAGACGGAGAGAAATAGTGATGTGAATTGGTTGTCTCCTGCATGAGCCCCGACCAGGGCCTGGGATGGGGAGGAGCCTGCAACTGAGGTGTGTGCCCTTGACTGGAATCGAACCCGGGACCCTTCGGTCTGCAGGCCGACACTCTACCCACTGAGCCAAAGTGTCTAGGGCTGGAAAAAGATTTTGTAACACGGTGACACGCTTGCTCTCAGTTGCCAAACTATCTTCTCACTGTTCCTCGATTTCTATTTCTAATCTCTTATATGAAGGTGTTTTTTTTTTTTACCTTGATAGAGCAAATGAACGCACAGTTGTTCTGTTTTCCATGAACACATACTAGTAGTCACCTTTCCCATGTGTTGTTACTGGAAGCTTTGTTCTTTTTAAAATATATATATATTGATTTTAGAGAGAAAAGGAGAGGGAGAGAGACATAGAAACATTAATGATGAGAGAATTATTGATCAGCTGCCTCCTGCATGCCCCCTACTGGAGATGGAGCCCACAACCCGGGCATGTGCCCTGACCGGAAATCCAACTGTGACCTCCTGGTTCATTGGTTGATGCTCAACCACGAGCCATGCCCGCCCGACTGGAATCTTTGTTCTTGAGGCTCCTGTTCCAAATGGGACTTGGATGAAAAGCCACATGAACTCCGTGGACTTCAGTTGTGACACAATCGCTTCAGAAGCCAGGCTTGCTTACACTGGAGAGCATGCTGTCTGCATACTCTCGTCTACACTGCCCTTCACTACATTCCCGTCCTTCCCTCTGCCCCTTCCAGTTTCTAGTATTGGGACAAACCAACCTCACATGCTCACCTCTATTCCACATCAGAAGGGGGAATCACAGACATGCCAACTGGCACATTATAATCCCCGCTCCGGTCTCAGCTGAATCTTCAGGGGGTTCTGTGACTCACTGCTACGTTGTCACTCTTCCGTCCCGTACATGTTTGTTTCAAACCTTTCCCAGGCCGGGTACACACCTTGCACAGGCGCTGAGATGCACCAACAGCCCTGTGAGCGCCGCCCAGGGGCTGGAGCCCAGGTTGTCTGATCTCAAGTCGTCTCTCTCCATCTCAACCTCACTCTTTCAAAAGGCCAGCTTGCTTCCTACTCAGAACGGGAGTCATTCAGAATATGTGGCACACTGGATCACTCTCTTCCCTGGAAACCTGGTGTCCAGGGCGTCATAATCTCTTAATTCTCCTCCTTTGCATGGTCACCTTTTCTCGGTCTTTTTGCTGGTTCCTCACCTCTGAACCCTCATCCTCTGAGTGCCCCCAGCCCGCAGCCCTCTTCTCCTCCCTGGGGACTCATGGCCTGGGCGCCCTCAGCCAGACTAAGGCTCAGGTACAGCAAGCATGTCAAACTCACGGCCCGCGGGCCACATGCCTCATTTATTTGGCCTGTGTTAGCCTTTGAGTTTGACATGCTTGGTGTACAGGGTACATGGCAATCAGTGGTCTTCCAAAGCTGACTTCTCACCGCCAGGCTGCTTCCCCTCAATCCCAGGATGGGTATTTGATAGACTTAAACTGGAGTGTCTAACAAAAATATCCAATCAATACGTCCAAATCCTAATTTCTAATCCGCCACCCAAAAGCTTGTTTCTCCCCCATAAAAACATCACCCGCGTCACTGTGAATATCCTCCCCATTGCTCGGCCAAGAAATCGGGCAACAACCCTCAACTCCTTCTCTCTCTCCTCCCCTACGTTCAATCTGTCAGGCCATCCTGTTGGCTCTGGCCAAAGAGATGAAGGGCTGCACACCGAATACCGCAAGGCTTTGAAGGAACAAATATATTGAAAGTGAGAGGATGCAAACGATAAACAAAGCAGAGCAGGGGCAGGGGTAGCTAGCGCGTTATCAGAACAACAAACAGGTCCTACGAGACAAAGACAGGGACATTATGTGTATATTAATAAGAGGTTCAAAATAATAAGAATTATAATTATAAACATTTGTGTGCTTAATAACAGACCATCAAAATATATAAAATAAAAATGGACAGCCGAAACCGGTTTGGCTCAGTGGATAGAGCGTCGGCCTGCGGACTGAAGGGTCCCGGGTTCGGTTCCGGTCGGGGGCATGTACCTGGGTTGTGGGCACTTCCCCAGTGGGGGATGTGCAGGAGGCGGCTGATCGATGTTTCTCTCTCATCGATGTTTCTGACTCTCTATCTCTCTCCCTTCCTCTCTGTAAAAGATCAATAAAATATATTTAAAAATAAAAATGGACAGAACTGAAGAGAAAATATTAAGTCCCACAACAACAGCTGGAGACTTCAATCCCCTGCTCTCAATGGGCTTGGCCAGCCAGACAGGACATGGTAAGGAAACAGAAGACTGAACACAATAACCAGCCAGGCCTACGGACACCCGTGCAACACTCTACCCTGCACAGAGCGAGCCGTCCTCTCCAAGGCACGTGGGACAGGTCCCAAAGATGCACCGTATGCTAAGCCACAAATTACGTCTCAATGGATTGAAAAGGTAGACATCAGACCAAGTGCCTTTGCCAACCACGCTGGGATAAAGTTAGAAGTAAAAAACTGAAGGAAAACTGAGAAAGTTAGTAATTACAACTAATGGTTGAAAGAAGAAATCATGAAGGAAATTAACGTAGAAAATACTGAATAATGAATGAAAAGAAAAACAAAAAATTCACGAGACTCAGGAAAAGCAGTGTTAAGGGGGAAAATGATAGCCTTAAACACTTACATTAAAAAAAAAAAAAAAAAAAAAAGAGCTCTGGCAGGTGCGGCTCAGTTGGTTGGAGCATCACCCTGTACACGGAAAGGGTGCAGGTTCGATTCCCAGTCAGGACACATATTTAGGCTGTGGGTTCAATCCTCAGTCCAGTTGTGTCTGAGAGGCAACTCATTCATGTTTCTCTTTCTCTCCCCCTCCTTTCCTCTCCCCCTCTCTCTAAAGTCAATGATAAAAAGTAAAAAAGACAAATCCTCCCATGAGGGTTAAAAAAAAAAAAAAGGAACAGAAAAAGACCTCAAATCCACAACTAACTAACTACACAACTTAAGGAACTAGGAAAAGAACAAATTAAACCTAACGCTAGCAGAAGGAAGAAAATAATAAAGATTTAAGCACAGATAAATAAAATAGAGAACAGGGAAAATCAATGAAAACAAAGAGTTGGTTCTTTGAAAATATTAACAAGATTGGCAAACCTTTAGTTAGTGTAAGAATAAATGTATGAAGAATGAGGGAAATAGAAAACCATCAATGGTAGACCGTGGCAATACTTGTAGTAGACGAGATCCACTGACAGATGTTTAATAGTGGACAAACTTTTTAGAAGGAAAAAAGGATATTTGCACAGTCACAGATTTGTTAATTAAAAAGGGAACCATCAGAACGTTACCATGGCTAACCCTGGCAGACACCAGTTTACCAGGTGATCAACGTAATGTCCGCAGTAATAAGGCAGATGGACTTCATTCACTCCTGAGATGAGGCCGAGATGAGCACCTCAGGATTCAAACCCCAGGTCTTGTCAGACTCGAAAATGTCATATTGTTAATCACTTCGCTATGAATAAGCCTATTTTCCTTCAAGAAACTGATAAATGAACTTGTTGGGGAAAGCAGCGAGGATCTACAGCAATTGGGATAGTCTATTGTTTGTGAAATATACCGGCTTCGTACAGTTACTCAGAAAAGTATAATTAATTAGTGAGATAAGACAGAATCCAAGAGAGGCTTATGTAAGAAAGGAAAACCAGAATGGAGATGACATTTACTCAGGCATGGTACATAGCAGGCGGTAAACATCATCATCAGAGCAAATATGTAACAATAATATATTTATTTTCATTTAATGCAATGTTAATTTTATTCAAACTATAAGTAAATGTATTCAATAATGATGGCAGGTGCTATTCCATTTCTTTATTCATTCCTTGGATCCTGACAACAGCCCTATGAAAGGGACATGATCAGGACCCTCATTTTCCAGGTGAGAAAACCAAGCCAACAAAACATTGAATAATGTGTTTGGGATCGTTTAGTAGTAAGTAGCAGAGCCTACAGAAAATACCAGTTTAATTGCCATACATGTCAGGTGTTAAGCTGAATCCTTTACATATTCTATTCAACATCACATTCTTGCCCAGGAACACTGTTTCCCACAAATAAAATGTTTACAAATGGAAAAACTGCGATTCTCCTGGCTGCCCCACTCGCTGTGAGCTGTTAGCATGCTTGGCCTCTACCTGACCACAGTCAGTCTTTTCCTTCCGAGTCATCTTGATAAGCATGTATGCCCCCCCAATTCTGTCAAATGTCCCTGAGGGAGTGGTACTCCTCCCAAAACTGCTTGGGAAAGGTCATCAGGTGGTCATTTGCAAAGCGGGGATACAATCCTAGGCCCGTCTGCGTCCAGGTCAACGTTCTTTCCCACACCAGCACTGACTGCTAAGAAGCTGAGGTTGAAACAAATGTGCAAGACCCGGGAGCGTAACCTCACCAAGTGGGTGGAGCAATTCACCGCAGACAGGAAATACTGTAAGTAACGGAAAGCTAAAGTCGCCTACACCGGGTAACAGTAATACTATGTGTCGTTGTCCAATTCAGCAAGACACAGCTTGGACCAACTTATAAAGTGATCAAATTTGCCTTTGGAGGGAACTGGGATTTGATTTAGAACCCTGAGAACTGGCGCCATTAATGCGTTCATTATTTGCAGAGGTGAATGAAGTTATGAGAAGGTGTTAGGCCTCCTGAAAAAAATTTCAAAAACTATTGCTTTTAGTTTCATTATTCTTGTATTTTCAAATTTATTAAGGCTGCTTTTCCATTCAACAAATATAAGCTGTATAATTTATGAGTACAAATCATCTGTTATTCTAATCCCTCTTATTCAATAAGAAATTCAGAATGTTGGGGGGGAAATAAAAAGCAACATTAGTGCAATTAGTGATCGAGGTCACAAATATATAGTAAAAACATCCTCCCAAACACACACAGGATAAATATTTCTATCTCCTCGAGGTAATAAAATAGCTTCAGTATATAATACTTAGATAATACTATACATGTTTGAAAGTTTTAATATTACAAATATTAAGATAATAGACGTTGTTAACAATAGCCTACAACCAACGTTTTGGTTACTGAATGGAATTTCGACACTAACCATGCGTACACGTGAGGACACACACGTGTGTACAGTGTAAACAAAACTTCCAGTTACCTTTGCAATAATAACTTCTTTCTTCAGAATCTTCATAGCATAATACTTCCCACTTGCCTTCTCTCGAACCAAAATAACTTTCCCAAAAGTGCCTTTACCTAGTAGTTTCAAATAGTCAAAATCATTCATTGTCTGAAAAATACAAATTAAAAAATATATGAAATATTTCGTGCAATTTATTTGTAAATATTCCACTCATCTGCAATATCCACTCAGAAGCAAATTTTACCAAGCGCTCTCTCTCTGAAATGAGTAAGAATCAGATGGCACTGGCTGCCTCATCAGCAGTCATAGATGCTGGAAACCACTGAAGCGATCCTCAGATACTGGAGACAATAATTTTGAACCTCGAATTCCTCAGCTACTCAAATTATTAGTCAAAGGAAACTCCTAGACCAGATGGCTGTGCTGGTGAATTGTATAAACATTTAAGGAAGAAATAACAGCAATGGCGTACAAACGCCTACAGAAAATGGAAAAGGAGAGAATACTTCCCCGATTCATTTTATGAGGTAACCATTACCCTGACACCAAAACCAGACAGAAACATTATCCGAAAACTACAAGCCAATCAATATACCCTTTATGCAAATACATGTAAGAATTCTAAAAATGTTACCAATGAATGCCTGTGTTCATTTCCAAAACTGTACGCTCCCGACAGTTTTCCCGAATGTCAAGTTATGACGTGTTAAGCATTCAATGGTATCTCTAGTTCAAAAGCAAAGCAGCAAGAGGCATTGGGAAATAATAAAGTGCATTTATTAATTCAACTAAAAACCAAACAAATGGGGCTAAATATACAGAATGTTTACTGCCCCTCCTCCCTGATGCACATGTCACTTTTTCCCATTAGGAGGCGGGGTCAACCTTCCCTCTCCCTGGGCTGGCATTGTGTCCAGCTGTGAACACGGAGAGCCCCACACTGCCAGGTCCACACCCAGCCTTCAGCCTGTCCGCTCGGGCTGTGGGAAGCCCGGGCTTTGTGCTGGGAGGAAGGCCATGTAGAGGCCCTGGGATGAAGGGAGGTCACGCGAGGGGGACCCAGAACCCAGACACATGAGGAAGGCGTTCTGGCATTTTCCAGCCCAGCCCACTGGCAGGTGAAGGCAGCTGCCTGGGAGATAGGTTGGCGGCCAGCAGAATTGCCCAAGCAAACGGGGAAAGTGTGAGAAATAACACCCGGGGATTGTTTTAGGATGTTAAACTTGGGTAGTTGGTTCTATGCAATAAAGAAAAACATTGTTCTCGTGAATAGGATAAAGCTTGATTTGAGTAGGACCCTCCTTGTGGTTTTTGTTTTGTTTTTCCAACATACTAGTATTTTTATTGATTTCAGAGAGAAGGGGGGGGGGGAGAGAGAGAGAGAGAGAGAGAGAGAGAGAGAGAGAGAGAGAGAGAGAGAGAGAGAGAGAAACATCAACCATGAGAGAATCATTGACTGGCTGCCTCTTGCACTCCCACACTGGAGACCAAACCCACAACCCAGGTTTGTGCCCCAACTGGGAATCGAACCGTGAGCTCCTGGTTCATAAGTCAAAGCTCAGCCCCTGAGCCACGCCGGCTGGGCCCTCCTTGCTTTTTTCTTTTTTATCTAAAATCACTGGAAAATGATACTTGCTGTATCCTATTACTTAATGTCATATCAGCTGAAACTGAATACATAGGGATAAAATCAAAGAAGAATTTTTAAACCGCTTTATGACATTCTCCGGTGAAAAGTAATATGTAATTATAAAGTATTACTATAGTCCTCAAGGATGCGAATCTCAGGAACAAGGAGAGTTTTCAAAAGTATGACAGTCTTAAGTCTCAGTTTCACAGCTTCTGCCAGTTATTCTGTCAATCTTTAAAAAAGGGAATTTGCATGGAAATTGATATTAGTAAAAAAAATTTTATGTGATAAAATCAGAAACAGATTTCATATCTATTTTGACAAACTTTCCGAACATTTTAAAGTATCTTTGATACCAAATGCTCACGTTCAGCATGGTAGACACAGTGATTATCTAGTCTTTACAAACGAAATGTAACCTATTACAAAATGTTTTCCTCTTTTGGACGGTGTTAAAGCTACAATAAGATTTCATTCAACAATGAGAGCATGGTTACTCCCCAGAGAAATTAATTACCCAAAACCCAATTCTAAGATTTGTTAGGTAAACATTTTATGTAGGAATACTCTTTCCTTTACATAATCTCCAACATATCAGTGTGGCTGCTTTAGGCTAAGACGTACATGTGCACACATAACAAATGCTTAATAAATGTATTCAAATCACATTATAGATTCTAGCATTTAAGAAAAAGACTGCCTAGCCCAAAAATTTGGTTAAAATATGAATATATAATTGAAGAGGAATACAAGGAATCACTCGGAAAAGGACACAGAAGTTCACCCCTCCACCGCCTGCCTCTGGCTCTCTCTCTTAGGGAAGGGAAGCTCTAGTCTGGTCAATTTCTACAACGACTGGGCCAGGCAGCGATAGATCACAGGACCTCAGAGGTCCCACCATCTCTTCTCTCTCTCTCCAAACACTAACCATAGCTTTGAGTTACTGTAGCCAGGCATCTATATATATAAAAAGCCAGTGACCAGAACACCGTAATGACCAGAATGACTGGTCGCTATGACACCCACTGCGGCCAGCGAACCAGCCCAACTGGGGGGCGGGGCACCTCCCCCCAGCCCCACTCCTGATCAGCCTCTCTCACCATGATCGAGGGCAAGGCGGCCGGCCAACCCCCCTGCGACCCTTCCCCACCAGCAAGCCCCACCCCCGATCGACCCACCCCATTGATCTGCAGCCCCTCCCCCAGGCTAGCCCTGCCCCTGATTGTCCCCCCACTCCAATAGGGGGTGGGCCTGGCCGGCCAACCTCCTGCAGCTCCTCCCCTCAGCTGGCCTCACCCCAGATAGGCCCCCACCACTCCATCAGGGGCAGGGCTGCCGACCAACTGCCTGCAGCCCCTCCCCTGGCAGGCCCCTCCCCCAACGGGCCCCCATCACCCTTATAGGCCCACAGCCCCTCTCCCAGGCAGGCTCTTCCCCTGATCACCCCCCAACCCCAATAGGGGGTGGGGCCGGCCAACTGGCTGCAGCCCCTCCCCCTGGCCATCCCCGCCCCCATTGGGCCCCCACCACCCCAATTGGTGCACGGGCCCTCCCCCCAGCTGGCCCGGCCCTGATCAGGCCCCAATCAGGGTGGGCCAGCCAGCCAACCTCCCACCATCTCCTCCTCCCAACAGGCCCGAACCTGATCCGCGCTCATTGGGGCTGGGCCAGCCGGACTCCATCCATGCATGAATTTGTGCACTGGGCCTCTAGTATAAGATAATAGGCTGCCATTTTTTATGAACTGCCATTTTTAGCATATTTCTTCCATACTCATGCATGCACCAAATAGAGGAGCAAGTCATTATTTCCTACCTTTCTTTTATGATGGGTTGCAGAAGCATCCATCTCCTCCTCCCCTATATTATCAATTTGTGAGGTTGGACTGCAACAACTCATCCTCTCCTCCTCTTGCCTCTGGAGTCTGTCTGCTACAGCCTGAATAGCTTCCGTCCATTCTTCCCTATAGATCAAGTGCAAATTCTCATTAACAGAGGATGGTAACCAATTCAAATATTTCCTTTTTATATGAAATATATACCAATAAAGTCTCCACGATAACACACACACATGCATGCAAGCACGCACACACACTCACACACACACACACACACACACACACAAGCTCATGAACATATTCTCCCACGCTTACTCCACTGTGGAATTAATCCCAAGGAATTAATTACAGCATAATGCTCGTAGTAGCATTTATTTGGAGGTATGTTAAACAAGAAAATGAAAAAAAGGATTATAAGAAAATTCAGTTAAAAGAACTTTAAAAGTAAGTTACATTTTAATTGCCCGTACACATCTTACTTACAAAGTAAAGATGACCCCCAAAAGTTTGCTGCACTTATTGTTTTGTTTAGCTACTGTACAGCCATCATTGACATACTCAAGATCTTTATTGTAGTCCAACAAAAGTTCTAAGAAAAGGTTTTCAAAGCCAAAACCTTTCACTGTTCCCAGATCATAGGCAAATTTCTTTAAAAAAAATGGCAGGCATAAGTTGTAGCTTAATTAGTAAGTCTCTCGAGCACTAATTTAAAGCTTTCATTTTTTGATAGTTATCTCATCAGATCAAGGGTCATTGATTTCCATAAAAGTTTTAAAATCACCTTGTTGCTTTCTTAAAGTTCATCAGAATTTTCAATGGAATTGCATTAAATCTATAGATCAGTTTGGAAGGAACTGCCATATTAATAAATTAAGCCTTCCAATCCATGAATATGGTATAGCTCTGCATTTCTGTAGGTCTTTAACTTCCCAGAGCAATGTTTTGGAATTTTCTGTGAAAAAGTCTTGCACATCTTTAATTGGCGTTCTATCTAAGTATTCTTTATTGTCCAGGGATTTGTAAATTTATTTTTTTTGCTAGCATTTAGAAATACAGTTGTTTACTGTACACTGACTTTTAACCTCCAGACTCACTAAATTCATTTCTGAGTTCCAGGAGCTCTTATTTTTCTGGATTTTGTAAACATGCAACCATGTTGTCTACATGTAAGGGCAATTTTACATGTGTTTGCCTTTTTCCTAATGTGTTTGCTTTTTTTTTCTTTTTCTTGCCTTATAATACAGAAGATCAGACCATCAATACAATGTAAAATAAAAGTGGTGGGAGCAGGCATTTTACTTTGTTCTAAGTGTTAAAGAGAAAGCATGGAGCCTTATCCTCTGAGTATTGCATAAGCTGTAGGATATATTTTTTTGGTAAATACCCTTAAGTTGAATAAGTTCCCTTCTCTTTCTATTCAACAGGTTTTTTGTTTCAAAGGGATGTTGACTTTTGTGAAATATTTTTTCTGCATCTGTTGAAATAATTGTGTAGTTTTTCTCCTTTATCCTATTAATAAGTTTAGTTGGATTATTTTCAGACTAGAGGCCCAGTGCACAAAATTCATGCATGGGTAGGGTCCCTAGGCCTGGCTGGTGATCAGAGTCGATCAGGGACTTCCGGCTGCTGGCCAGGGCCTTCCCCAGCTGCTGGCTACCAGCCAGCACCTTCCTTCATTCTGCGCCGCCCCATGGTGGTCAGCGTACATCATAGTGAGTGATAGAACTCCCGGTCTCCTGGTCAAACTCCCATGGGGACACTTTGCATATTAGCCTTTCATATATATATATATATATATATATATATATATATATATATATATATATATATATATATATAGATGCTAATGCAACTGAATTCTTGGGATAAACTCCATTTGGTCATGGTGTATTATCCTTTAAGTATATTTTGTAATTCTATTTGTCAAAATTCTGTTAATAAATTTGGCACCAGCCCTAGCTGGTTTGGCTCAGTGGATGGAGCATCAGCCTGTGGACTGAAGGATCCTGGGTTCAATTCAGGTTGCAGGCTCAAACCTTGGTGGGGGGTGTGCAGGAGGCGGCCGATCAATGATTCTCTCTCATCACTGATGTTTCTATCACTCTTTCCCCTCTCCCTTCCTTTCTGAAATCAATCTTACCTAATAATAGACAAACATGTAAATTGACCATACCTACGCCATGCTAACCAGCCAATCAGGAGAGTATGCAAATTGACCCAACAAAGATGGCAGTTAATTTGCATGCATAGGCTCCAAGTGGCGGAGCGAAGGCTGATGGCCCCAGGGCCGGCTCTGGCCGGACCCTGGACAGAGCGAAGGTGTGGGTCCCGGGTGCCAGAGGCAAACCGGTGCCAGCAGCCATGGGAAGGGAAGGCCTACTGCATGAATCTCTTCGTGCTACAGGCCTCTAGTAAAAATATATTTTTAAAAAAAAATTGGCATCTATATTTACAAGTATATTGGGCGTATAGGTCTCTCTTCTTATGATAGTTTTGCCTGTTTTCTTTGTTGTTGTTTTTAAAATGAGGGTGACAGTTGCCTTATAAAATGAGTTAGGAAGTGTTCTCTTCTCCATTATTTTCTGAAATAGATTTTGTAGGATTGGTAATATCTCTTTAAATGTTTAATCAATGAAGCCACCTGGACTTGAAGTTTTCTTTGAAAAAAAAAATGTTTTGCTTACTAATTCAACTTTGTTCATTAATACTAGATTGTTCAATTTTCTAGGGTTAGTATTGTTAACTTCTGCCTTCTTTTTTTAAATTTTCCTTAAAAACCTTTCAAGACATTTCCATTTTATTAATTTTGTTTCAAAGAACTAGCTTTGTTTAATTGATTATTCTCTACAATTTTTCTGTTTTTAAGCCCCCTGATTTCTCTATTGTTTCCTTCTTTCTGTTTGTCTCAGGTTTAATTTACTTTACTTTTCTAGTTTCTCAAGATGGAAGCATAGATTACTGACTTGAGAACTTCCTTCTTTCCAAATATAGGAATTTATAAATTCCCTCTAAGCACTCATTTCACCACATACCACAAGTTTTAACATGCTTTGTTTTATTATTATTTGTTTTACACTATTTTCTAATGGCTCTCGTGAATTTTGTGTTTGACCCAATGATTATTAAGAGGTGTTTTATTTGATTTCAAAATACTGGGGTTTTTCTTATTATCTTATTGATTTCTAATCAATTCTACTGAAGGCAGAGACCATATTTTGTAAAATTTCAGTATTTCTAAATATATTAATAATTGTTTTAATATCCAGAATATGATCTTCTGGTGAATGTTATCAAGTACATTTGAAAACAATGTGTATTCTGCCACTTCTGGGTATAGATATCAATTATATCAAGTTGATTGATAGTGCTATTCTATTTCTATGTCTTTGTTGATTTTTTTTTGTTTAGCTGCTCTATCAACTGCTGAAAAGAATTTTAAAATCTCAAAATATGGTCCTGGGACTGTCTATTTTCTCTCTTAGTTCTGTTACTGCATGCATACATATTCATAATTGTTATATCATAGAGTTCGACTGACCCTTTTAACATAAAGTGTCCTGGTACTCTCAGGTGATACATCTTATTTTGTAATCTCATATAATATAGCAAGTCTCTTTCTTATATTTACTGTTTGAAGATATCTTTTTCAATCAATTTCTTTTCAATCTACCTGTGTCTTAAAGTTCATCTCTTAAAGACAATACATAAGTGGGCCTTGTACTTTCATCAGTTCTGAAACTCTCTCTTTTTTTTTTTAAATATATTTTATTGATTTTTTACAGAGAGGATGGGAGAGAGATAGTCAGAAACATCGATGAGAGAGAAACATCGATCAGCCGCCTCCTGCACACCCCCTACTGGGGAAGTGCCCGCAACCCAGGTACATGCCCTTGACCGGAATGGGACCCTTCCGTCCGCAGGCCGACGCTCTATCCACTGAGCCAAACCGGTTTTGGCAACTCTCTGCCTCTTACTTGCAATGTTTAATCCATTAATATTTAATGCAATTACTTATAGGGTTGCACCTGAGTCTACCATTTGTAGAAAATACCAAGTGTCAGCAAGAATGTGGAGAAACTGCAACTCCTATGCACTGCTGTGAGAATGTCAAATGTTGCAGCCACTATGGAAAACACTGTGGAGGTTCCTCAAAGAAATAAAAACGGAACTACCTTAAGATCCAGCAATCCCTCTTCTGGGCATTTAGCCAAAATACAATGAAATCAGCATCTTGAAGAGGTATCTGTACTCCTATGCTCACTGCAGCATTATGAAAAATAGCCAAAACATGGAACAACCCTACGTGTCCATTGAACGATGAATGGATAAAGAAAATGTGGGATAAACATAGGATGGGATGTTATTATGTGCTCCAACATAAATGAACAATGAGGGCATTATTCCAAGTGAAATAAGCCAGTCACAGAAGGACAAATATTGTATGTTTTCACTTATATGAGACACCTAAGGTAGTCAAATTCATAGAAGCAGAAAGAAGAATGAAGTTTGATATGAGCCAGGAGAGGGGGAAATGGGGAGTGGCCATTCAATGGGCATAGAGTTTCGGTCATACAAGATGAGAAATTCTAGAGATCTACTACAAAGCATTGTCCGTAGAGTTAATAATACTGTGTACACTTAAAATTTGGTAAATTTCATGCTATGTGTTTTTAATCACAATTTTTAAAATGTACTAGAAAAGCTAAGAACATTTTGAAAAAAATAGCAATAATAAAAGGCTTGCTTTATTGAAAGCTAAAAGTTTGATAAGGCTTCTCTAATTAAAACCATGTGATCCTAGTGCTAGAGTCACAGAAATATCAAGATAAGGGGGGGAGAGGAAAATACTAAAAATACAAGTATTCAAGCATAATCAGTTAGAAGAGAATGGATTATTCAATAAATGAAGGTAAGACAAGAAGCTCTTCTCTTGGAAAAATAGATTCCAAACTTCTATGATTAATGAAATAAATATAAGATTTTAAAAGATAGATTAGAGATATTTAGTTTGCAACAGGTAAGTATTTTAGACTGGAAGACAGAGTAGAGAAGATAGAGAGTTTTTCTCGATCTTAATACATCTAAGTCTTCATTAATATTGAAGTCATATAAAATATCCAAACATCAGGTTCTAGGTAAATTCAGGAAACAAACTCTAATGCAAATACAAATATGCTGTTTTTCATAAAACTGCTTCCTTCTAGTCATAAACGCAAGTGAAAACTGATTATCCAGAAAAGTAGTATGATAATATTGCAGGAAGAACAAACTAGTTCAGCCTTAAGATATGGCTTAAGTCCAGCCTTGCGAACACAAAGGCAAAATGAATCAAGTTACATGGGATGTTATAAACCCATGAAGAGCAATATTTTCAAAGCATATATATTGCCATGGGAAAAATCCCATTCGTTCAACAAGTCAATAAACACTGTATCGGCCCCTGGACTGTGCGCTAAAAATAAAATGATGAGCAAGGAAGACATCACCCTTGCCAATCAAGAATCTTATAGTCTACTGAACAAGGCAGGCAAAGATTATAGTAGTGGTATACCAGATGCAAAAGGTCCAAGGAGATAGGGAAGGAAATAGCAGGGGGACCTACCTAGTCTACCAGTGTCAGAGGTTTTGTAGGAAATGTAACATTTTAAGCTCAGATCTGATTTCATAGGAATTACACAGGAATGAGCTCAACCATAGTTATGGGCTAGCAGTGGTCGGCAAACTCATTAGTCAACAGAGCCAAATATCAACAGTACAACAATTGAAATTTCTTTTGAGAGCCAAATTTTTTAAACTTAAACTATATAGGTAGGTACATTGTTATTAACTTAATTAGGGTACTCCTAAGGCTTAGGAAGAGCCACACTTAAGGGGCCAAAGAGCCGCATGTGGCTTGTGAGCCGCAGTTTGCCGACCACGAGGCTAAGGTATAAGCAAACTGAAGACTCAGCATAGATAAATGCCCAGGGCAGAAGGGGGTGGCTTTGGAGGGAGGACACATAAAATTGTATGTGTACTGAAGACCTAAACATATCTCACACAATAAGACTGGAAGTGTATAAAAAAGAATCAGTCCTTAACTCTGGTTATAGAATCAGATTATGAGTAATTTCTAGATCTTTTCCATTTTTCTTTCTTGTCTATGTTTTCTGCATCAACATACATTACCATTTTTGTTTATTGATCAAAAAAGTATTATTAAAATAACACTTCCCTATTTACTAGATTTTAGGGGGAAGTTCTGAGGTTTTTTTAATCACACAAGTTTCTTAAGAACTAATTTATTCATTTGGAAAATAGGCTAAAAAGATTCAACTTCACAGAGTTGCTGATTTGAGTCAAATATGGTAACATAGGCGCAGGAAAATGAATTTGTGCTGGTGGTTGTTGGACCTAAGTCAGTATGAGAGCCACCGGATGAAAGGGTATTGGACAGAACTGGGAAAGGGAGGGGACTCCAGGAATTAGGGGATCAGGAGGATGAAAATGGGGCCCTGAGGACGCTGGGGGGTTGGCTGGAAATGTGTTGCACTCCCCTCTTCAGCAACGATGACGGCCACTGCCAGTCAGTCCTGGTCCTTTCTTCCTCACTGAGCTTAGACCCCATCTCAGCATCCTCCTCCCCACACTCCAGGCGGCCGCCTGACGGATGGCATGCTACCTGACACCTTTGCCACCTCTGGCCTCAGAATTCTAAACACAAACACAATCCTACCATTCTTTTAAAAGACGTAGCTTGGTTATTAAAAAATGTCTTAATTTATGTTTTAGCTGTTTAATGTTTTTTTCTTTTTAATTTTTTTAAAAATATATTTTATTGATTTTTTTACAGAGAGGAAGGGAGAGAGATAGTTAGAAACATCGATGAGAGAGAAACATCAATCAGCTGCCTCCTGCACATCTCCCACCGGGGATGTGCCCGCAACCAACGTACATGCCCTTGACCGGAATTGAACCCGGGACCCTTCAGTCCGCAGGCCGACGTTCTATCCACTGAGCCAAACCGGTTTCGGCGTTTTTTTCTTTTAAGAAGTATATCTACCAGAACTTCCAGATATTTTGATTCAGAATTTGATAAGTTACTCATCTCTTCCATCAGAATAATAATCCTTAAGGGCCTACAGCATTTTACAAAGGTATTTACATATATTTACACATGGTGAGGTCAGACACACGGGCTTTTAGATTGACCGTTGCTTTTTCACAAAATGGAGAGAGAAAAAATGACTCTCTTACCTTTCCTCTGGCGTATCTACATGAAAGGTTCTCTCTATAACAGTGGTCCACTGGAGACATCTGATAATGAATGTGTTTGGCTTTGGTCGTTCTGTTTTCATTAACTGGCATTCTAGTGATAAAATAAAACGTCTCTTTGAATATACTTACATTTAAACCAAGAAACAAGCACTTGCAAACTACAGCGTTGTGTTCTACGCAAAGCCACTGAGATCTCTCAGCATTCCAGGGGATACACGGCTTTCCCCCGAGACACCCTGCTGCTCTCCCCTGTATCGATACCTCTGCTGTCCATTCATTTGACCCCGATCCATACGTGACCACCAACTGTCAAAAGGACACCTGTCCTCTGAGGTGAAGATCAAAGCCAACTTCTTCCATGAGGCCTTCTATGGAAGACTGACCATTCCTGAATCCCCCCCCTCTCCCCATATTCTCAGAACTTACTATTGTCTGCCTCATTCTTCACTCAGCTTAGACTACCTTATAATATTATCGTTTTAAGGCATCCTTATCTCTCTACCTAGATTATAAGCCTTTTGATAGTATATCCCACTTGTAACTTTTTAGAAATACGTTTTTATTGATTTCAGAGAGGAAGGGAGAGGGAGGGAAAGAGATAGAAACATCAACGATGAGAAAGAATCATCAATCGGCTGCCTCCTGCATGCCCCTGAGTGGGGACCGAGCCTGCAACCCAGTCAGGTGCCCGGATGGGGAATCAAACCATGATCTCCTGGTAGGTGGGTTGATGCTCAACCACTGAGTGACACCGGCCAAGCCACCTATAGTTCTTATTAATCACAGACCGTAGAGCCAGTCAGTCACCAAGCGATCAATTCTGTCAAGGAATATCTAGGAAGACTTCAAAGAAAAGGACGAAAGTGCAGTGGCTAAAATATGGGTTCTAATCCCAGTGTGTCTGGATTCAGTATTTTCCCTACCATGAACAATGAACCTTGCAAGCGAATTAAGGTCTTTGCTCTTCAAACATTACTTAGAAACAAGAAGAGTACCAGTAACATACAACTAGTACGTGGAGAAATAATAAATCGATGTAATCCTCAACATTGTGTGTGACACAAAAGGTTTCAATCGTGCTAGCTGTTAGCTTTAAGGACTGGATACGCGGTATCAGACAACCAGAGGAAGTACAGCTGGCTTGTGTACCGATACTGCTCTTTTGAAAGAAAGTAATTGACCCCTGGTTGAAAAGTTCAACAGTGTCTTGTCCATACTTATCCTTCTGGTCCTATCTCCATTATTAGCAACTATCAACTGCCATTCCTACGTCTTTATGGGACCAAGTCAGCAATCATATTGAACCATTCTTTTTATATAACGAAAAAAATCACATTCTAAATCAATACGTTAAAATACAAAAATGACACTAAAATGAAAAAGGAAAAGTGGTCTCAAGTTGGGATTTTTTGAACTATCTGTGCCTTTCTCTCCGGAAGTGTCTGGCTTTGTTCAGATCTGAGAGCATCGTCTCCGCCCGGAGAATGGTCTCGGAGAGTATCCCTCATCTGGTAGCGAGTCAGCACCGAGAGAAGAAAATAATTTCCCACCACATCCAGGGCTCTCTGCCCTTCGTACACAGCGGTAACTAAAGAGCTGGATCTGAAGCCACAAAAATTGAAACGTTAAAAAACCATGTTAAAACAAGTGAGCCAGTCAACAGAAGAAGTTCTGGGTTCTTCTGTGTAAGCTACAATATGGGCTCATGAACACACCCCACAGCTCTTTGTAAAATGAAGGCAAACCTGCCATGGCTCATGTCTAAAAACCCTTATTCTTAAAGGGGACTCCTGATCTTTAAGGGGATTCTTAAAAAGGATGGTGGTGAATAAATAGTCAATACTTCTTCAGAAGAATATTTTCAATTTAGTCATGTAAAGATTTCCAATTCAACCTCGGCTGACTTAAAAACAAAAGTAGAAACTTTGGCTAGCGATTCTGAAAAGCTATTAATCAAATGATCATCCATGATATCTCAAACCATTGTGTGTATTAAATGGTTTGAGATATCATGGATGATCACGGTGTGACAACCATTTGCATATTAGCCTGTTATTATTATGATTATTATGATTGCGGCTATTCTTATAAAAGCGGCAAAACGCATTTTTTCTTTTTGCTGAAAAGTTTTTACTGTCTAGGGGGCAAAAAAGAATAGTGACCAAGGAAGCCCCAGCACATCAACCTTCCAGAGACTCATTCCACGGCTGTCAGGAAGGGGCCGTCGCTGTGCTAGGTGATCTGGTGATGAGTCCCACGGGGGCATCTGCCCGTGCTCACTATGTTACATTTGAGGGACACATCTAAGAGGGGTTCTATTATTATCTTCCAGTTCATAAAGGAGCTAATAGACATTGAAACTGGTTAAATAACTTGCCCCCAAACCTACAGCTTGCAAGTCACTGTACGAACATTTACCTCCAGGTCTACGTGGGTTCAAATGCCCGGCTCTTTTGGAGAGTACACGCTGCTCAGAAAAATGCCTTTAAACAATCAGGCATCGTCTGTCCATGTTACCTCCCACTTGAAAAGGTGTTTCCACTCTCCCTCTTCCGCACCTGCCCTTCCCTGGGCCCTGCCCTCCTCCCTCTGTGACCCCTTTTCTCCTACAAAGAAGTCGGGGTACGTGTCACCTGATAACATATTTGAGGAGGGAGAGGGCCCCCTCCACTCTCACCCCCAGCCCTGTGTTTGCTCCTGGCTCTGAACACAGTGGAGGGATGGCTAGGGAAGAGGGGGGTCCCCCGCAGGAGCCCAAGGTGGCACTTTATTTGTGGACGCAGGATGCAGCGGGAGTGGTTTAGAGAGAAAGACAGTGCGAAGGGGCAGCGGGGACCTGCGTCCTCTCTCTGCTGGTCTCACGCCCTGGAACGCCGACCAAGCCGACGGGAACACACATGTTCAGTCACAAACGACGGAGAAGTGGCTCCCAAACTCGCACTGGTCCAGCTCCCGGTTTCTATTCTCTCGGTAACAGACAAAGGACAGGATGCTTTTGCTGCCGGCGAATGTGACAAGTAGCCCAGTGGTCTGAACCAGAGTAAAAATATCCTTTTCCATAAAAGGAAATGGGGGGGGGGTGCATAAGTTTTTACTGTTTACTTCATAAGAAAGAACTTTCTGTAAGTGAAGGAGTAAGAGGGGTTACTAACGCTATGTTCCACTCTAAAAGACGTTTTCACTTTAAGGTACACGTTTCAAATTCTGGCTTTTTAATGATCATAAATGTCACCATGTTGGTTTTAACGGGAGACTCTGTGTGGATTTAAATTGAGTCTGAAATCCCGACATGTTAATGTGAACGTCTCCTGATACATTTTTCTTTAGCGAATAGGTCACCATCATTTAGCAAAAGTACATCTAGGAGCCAGCCCCCTTCCCACCAGCATTTCTCCATCTCGTCCGTCCTCAAAATCCTACCTCTAATTAAACCAACATCTCAAAAGTCTTCCAGAACAACTACTCTCTGCATACCCTCTGCATTCTTCCAATTTTAATTAAAAATACACCATGGTCCCCCTGGGGCATAGTGAACATACAAAATGAATGAGGTCTCACTAACAGAGTCCAGAGTCAGGCAAACAAACATCAAAACGCACCATGAGGCGAGCTGTTCTGTGGTCGTGTTTTTTGCAGTCTAATAGCCATGAACTACTTTTTGTGGTTAAAAAAAACACCCCACGTAACATAAAATGTACCATTTTAACCATTTTAAAGTGCACAGTTCTATGGCATTAATAAGTACATTCACATTGTTGTGAGGTAAGCTGGCTTTTAAGCATATCTCTTCCTTTTTTCTCATTGTACAAATTCATATTCAAATCATTTATGCTTCCTGTAGAAGAATTCATAAATAGGTACATGGTTAATGTTCTCATGTATATTTCTTTTGTAAGCATGTTTTAAAATGAGACTATAGCATATGGAACATCTATATATATAAAAGCCTAAGCAACCGTTCCACCAGTAGCTATAATGTGCACTGACCACTAGGGGGCAGATGCTCAGTGCATAGGCATGGAAACATAGAACAGACTGATAAATCTCAGAGGGAAGGAGGGAAAGGAAAGGAGGGGAGGGTGGGAAGGATTAACCAAAGATTTTATATGCATATTAGAGGCCGGTGCACAGATTCATGCACCAGTGGAATCTCTCAGCCTGGCCTGCGCCCTCTCACAATCCAGATCCCCTTGGGGGATGTCGGACTGCCAGTCTCGCCCAATCCCTGTAGGGCAGTGGTTCTCAACCTTCTGTCCCTTTAAATACAGTTCCTCATGTTGTGACCCAACCATAAAATTATTTTCGTTGCTACTTCATATCTGTCATGTTGCTACTGTTATGAATTGTAATGTAAGTATCTGATATGCAGGATGGTCTTAGGCGACCCCTGTGAAAGGGTCGTTCGACCGCCAAAGGGGTCGCGACCCACAGGTTGAGAACTGCTGCTGTATGGGCCGGCCTGTCTTGCCCAGTACCGATCGCCTGGGAGGGACCACAGGAGGGCTCCAGGGCATGTCCAGCCCATCTTGATTCGTGCACCAGGCCGGTTTCGGCCCGATCCCTGCAGGCCAGGCCTAGGGACCCTAGTATTACATAAGTGCTTTGCTCATGTACTATGTTGTGATATTTTTCATTTCATTAAATAATGATCTACATCATCATATTTCATAGTGGCTCAGACACCTCTGTACTCACACACCCAAGTAAACAGTTTATTAGTGATCACAACCCATGAAACAAACAGAAGTGAATTACCCGGATGCGGAAAGGATGAGTTCTACCCATTTTAGCACAGCTTACTACAAAAGATTGTGTGGAAATCTAAAAAATAATCATGAACACCATTTTGTTTTAATTAAGAAAAACTAATTTATATTTCAAATATGCTGAAACTGGAATTCATAACAACATTTTTAAACAATCCAACAAGAATGTAAATTAAACTGCAAATTCCCTGAGGGCAAGGGTCGTATTATTTGATTACCTCGTACTGTGCCTACACAGAGCAGGTCTCAATTGAATAAACACAATGAACAAATCCACGATTAACATTAGCCAAATGCAGTAAGGAATTTATGTTGGCTAACTAAC